ACTTTTATATATATATATATCTATAATTTAACAGTGATATATTTAGCATAATATTATTACGCAAAATTATTATATGTGAATGTGGCAAGCAATTTGAAGTGCGCACGTGCTTGTAGCCGGATAGGCTCCAGCAGAAGCATGTGTGTCTATAAATCGTGTGGTATACATGTTCTTGATCAGATAAAATATGTCTCCATTATGCAATATAATATTTTTCTTTTTTGTTTTATTCAATCTTTTTTTCAACGAACCAATATAAATTTGACGTGTTGAGAAGCTTATAAAAGAGCATCTGTTAAATTATATTATATATATATATATATATATATATATATATATATAATCGGAAACTACATATGACTATTTATATAAATTTGCATACATACCATATCATTCCCATATATATTTGAATATATAACGCCTAAATTTTCATATTTACAAAAGTAATAGTTAATTTGTTGGCATCACATCAGCAAAATCACTATAACTAACTTTTTTGAAAGTGAAATACACTTTTACAAACATAAATTTTTAATACCAAAGTGTTAAAAATATAAATATCAAAATTTATGTATTTGATATGTAAATGCATAAGAATTGTGTAGCGTAAATATAAATTTCCCTAAAAATAATGAAACGATGGTCATTTAGAGTAAATTTTGAAGAGCTTTTTTATAATTTTTTTTTTAATTTTCTGGATCGGTATTTTATTTCTGTTTATAACAGCCATTTATTATTACGTATATATTTTATCATAAAAATAAGCTTTGCCTACGTAACTAGATAAATATATTCCATAGTTCTGTAACCATAAATAAACTCAGGTCCATTTTTTTTTTAAAGCAAAAAACATATGGAATACTTTTAATAATTTTCAAAAACCCTACTTTTACCAAACTAATTTTACATTTATTTCCAAAACAAATACTTAATTGCACGGTACCTCAACCGTATTGCACTTTGCCACCACTAATTAATTTATTCTCACGCATGCATATTGCATATTGCCAATGTGTTCACTGACTCACAACTCACAACTTGGACCAGTAATAGTGCATGCATCAGATATATATATATATA